ATAAAAGTCACTGTGAACTCGCGGGGTAGATAATGTGGCCGACATTTCACTGTTATTTGCTCCAAAGCCTTCGAGCATGAGCTTTTTACAACAGTACAGTTCGTGGACCAACTCTTACTCACGTAAATGCACACTCCGCCCCCCCGTGATTTCCCCGTTAGCTCGCTGCGATGATATATATGTTATATGTATATATATATACATATGATATCTATGACTGAGACCACCGAGGTGCTCCACAGAACACCACAGGAAGTCCTTCCTATCTGTGGCTATCAAACTTGTCAACTCCTCCCCTTTCTACACATAGAACAATAAAATTAATCCTGTATTACAATAAACACTTTAGGCAGTTTCTCTCTGGACCTGACCTGTTTTAGACCTTAATTGTTTGCATTTTTATATTCTCTGTTATTTTTATATTCTCTGTTATTTTTCATATCTTGTGTGATTCCTTGTGTATGTTCCTTTGTACTGAAACTCTGGCACAACATTTTCATGTAAGACGAAGCTGAATTAAGTCCAGCTGGAGTTCAGCAGTCTGACAGCTGCAGGGAAGAAACTGATTATATTAAACTACATTACATTATTAGATTGGGCAGCACGGTGGCGCAACTGGTAGAGCTGCTGCCTCTCAGCGAGCACGTCCCTGGTTCAAACCCCGGTCCAGGGGTGGAATTTGCATGTTCTCTCTGTGCATGCGTGGGTTTTCTCCGGGTACTCCGGTTTCCTCCCACAGACCAGAAACATGCATGTTAGGCTGATTGGTAACTCTAAATTGTCCCTAGGTGTGAGTGAGAGAGTGAATGGTTGTTTGTCTCATTTGTCTCTATGTGTCCCTGTGATGGACTTGCAACCCATCCAGGGTGCACCCCCCCCCCCCTCCCTCGCACAGTGATTGCTGGACATGGGCACCGCCGACCCCCGTGACCCAAAATGGAATAAGCGGGTAAAAATAATGGATGGATGGATATTATTAGATTGAACTGTGTGTGTGTGTGTGTGTGTGTGTGTGTGTGTGTGTGTGTGTGTGT